AACTGATGGAATTTAAACTGTTTTTAGGCAGAACTGATGGAATTTAAACTGTTTTTAGGCAGAACTGATGGAATTTAAACTGTTTTTAGGCAGAACTGATGGAATTTAAACTGTTTTTAGGCAGAACTGATGGAATTTAAACTGTTTTTAGGCAGAACTGATGGAATTTAAACTGTTTTTAGGCAGAACTGATGGAATTTAAACTGTTTTTAGGTTTTTTATTGGGCGGCAAAGATATTTTCCCCCCTTTTCCTCCTCTTCTTCAATTCTGGCAGATAGGCTCTCAGATAGGTGATCACTTCCCTGTTTTTCAGCTGCCCCTTCTGGACAGCTCCCTGCTTTCCTGCTTATCCCTCTCTGAGATTGTAACCTGCTTATCTATCTTGGGAGATTTACCTTCTCTGTAAAGACAGAAAAAATCTCTGTATATACATATATAAGGGGGACTTAATCTTCAGTTCTTCTTGATGTCACGAACCCTTCAGTCACTTCTTCTATGGCAGTTGTTATTGCTGACTTTTTCATTTCAGAGGCTGCCTTTGCTGACTTTTCATCCCTGCTGACTTCCGCCATTGCTGACTTTTATCCCAGAGGCTGCCATGTGGGATTGTTCCCTCTTCTGGTCTGGACTCCCTCTTCCTATTTATGTTGGGCCTGTGAGGCCCAACTCAGCTTTGTTTGTTCTGATGGGCCTTGGGCTGGATGTGTCAATTTTTGGACAAGTGTTGGTTAGAATGCCTCAATGATATATATATCTCTTTCAAAGTGTGTTTATGTGAAGTTCTAGATTATTTCGATGTGATTTTGTACCAATTTCATTCTGGGGTTTTGTTACATCAAAATTGATATCTCAAGGGTTATTTCAAAGTTGGTTTTGTGCCATTTGAATTTAAATTGATTTTTTTTTTTGTGAAATTTCAAAGTAGAGACTATGCTGTTGAAATTGTTATGATTCTACCGCATGCTCTGTTTTGAATACATGTTTGAAAACTTCCTGAACTTGGATTTTCATGAAATTTTAGTATGTTTTACTTTCACATATTTTCTTCAAATCTGAAAAGTTTTATCCAGTTTGGTTGTAAATTGAAATTTTGGTGAGTTTTCAAAATAAAGTGCACAAACCTTAAAAAAAGAACATTCTGCAACCTAGTCTGTTTTGATTTCTATTTTGACATGCTTCCTTAACCCTAATTTCCATCAAATTTTGACATTTTTAATTTTTCTATGTCTAATTGTGATATAAATTTTTTTACATTATTTTGATTTAAACTCAATATTTAGTGAATTTTCAAAGTTAACGTGTTCCAACCTAAATGTTTAGCAAAACTGAAGTTTTTGTTTTAAATTGATATTTTAAATTTTCTTTATGAGTCTAGAGCCGAACCACCTGATTTTAAACATTCCAAAGAGTAGAACTATCATAGGATGGGAATAGATTGGTTTTTCCTTGACGCTTGGTTCTATGCTTGCTTGGATGCGAGGTTAAGGGAGTAACGATCGAGTCGAACAACTTATCAAGCGTATTATGAGACTTTAGGTCTACGTGCGCCAATAGGACACTCAAACGTGTTTCCTTGTTTCTAGTTAATTTTAATTAGTAAATTATCTTAATTGGGTGTTCTACTATGCGTACTTTGGAGGACGAACTAGCACAAGGTTAAGCTAGCTGGACAAGGTTAAGTGACATAGCCCTATCATCGGGAAATCTCCTAATGGGCTCGAGTTTTGGTGCTCCCAAGCAGCCCAAAACTTCCACTTATTGGACTATCAATGGGCCTCGTGAATACTCGTAACCATCCATACCACAACCTGCTCAGAATGTTCTAGGCATTCACATGGTTTGGGCCCACTTAAGCTTGTTGGTTTAGTGCCAAAATAAAGGTTTTCTACTTGGTGTTGAGCGTTATTTGGCATGCTTGTGCTCGAGTTTTGCCATATTGTAAATGGCTATGATCGGGGCAAATGACACTTGACGGGATAATAAGCACGAGTTCATAGAGCTAATACATTTTACTGGCTTGTCATGACCTTTCTGCATGGCGGGTTACGTATTTGCTTGGTGTGGCACGTGGACCATAACTCGTGTTAGCACACATGACGAACTCTTGCGTACCCAAGTCGGGCTTCTTCCCTAGTTAAGTGTTGTACTGGGCTGAAAATATATTTGGGCCTAGCATTATATTTTTTGGGCCTTAACAGGGTGCTATTAAACAAACCCTAAAATTAACTAAGCACACCATATTACCGAACTATTTATTAAATTACTAATTTACCCTAATATAAAATGACAAAAAAGGATATATTGAAGTGTGAAACAAATGTAATTTTAACAAATACACCCTACTCATCATATTCAACACTAATTTACCCTTAGTTGATTCATTTTTCTTGGTTTCATCTTTATATTCATGTGCTTGAGTTAGAGAGAAGCTTGATTTTTCCATATGATTCCCATTTGAATGTCCTTGACTTTTTATGCCAAACTCCCGATCAACTCCATTGGAATTTTTGTTTAAGCATATGCTTTCCCACTAAATTTTTTTTAATACTTTTTCAGAGAGAGATCTTCTTCCTTTAAATTGTTTATCAACTGAATACCTTTTCAAATCATATTCAATATCATCTCCACAATCATAACTCCACTTGTAGATCATGTTGGTATTGTCCATGTCTAATTGAATGGAATGAAGATCACTATCACCACCTAAATCATCTTCAAGCATAACTTCCATTCCATTTCCTTATTTCTTTGCATTCTGAAATGATTTGAAATTTATTTTGTTTGAATAAGCCTCAAGTTCTTTGATTCTTTCAAATTTAGTGTTGTGTGATAGAGTGTATTAAAGTGTACTATATGTATTTTTAGTAGTCAAATAGGGTGTACTTGGTTAATTTTACATTTTGAATTAAATATTTAGGTGTACTTAGATCATAAGGTGCACTCAGTTAATTTTAAGGTTCATTTAACAATAATCACTAATAATTTAACATCCGAACTTTTCATTTGGTGTTAATGTACCACCCCACCTCCGTCTAATTTTCGTCTAAGCTACAAGGATATCAAAAAAAATTGCCTAGCCATTTCTTTCTCTTGATTGCATCTTAACATTCCAATTTGGACCAATATTATTGTCAATATAACCCTCTTAAAGGCAATCAACTATGGCTTTTTATTTCAAGGGTAAACTGCCAAAATGCCCCTTGAACTTGTACCTAACTATCAATTTATCCCCTAATTTTTTTTTTACAAAATTAAGGACTCAAACTAAATTTTATTCTCAATTTCCCCCATGCCGTCCAAATTCTCAACATTTCATCCAATTTTCACTTAAATGATTAAAAATAATTTTTTTTTTGTGGAAAAAATGAAGGAAAAGAGAGAAAAAAAAAAAAAACCCTCCCCACAGCCATCACCTTTCTTCCCCACCATCACCATCACACACCTCTCCTCATCACCACAGCCAGCCCCTCATCTCACCAACCCCAAAACAACTCCTCCCCATCCCCCAGCTCAGCCACTCCAATCCTCAATTGAAATCACAGCAGCCAGTGACCCTACCTCTTCCCCACCCGCAACCCACCCTACATCCAAAAAACATAAAAGAAAACCCTATCCCTACCCACAAACCCAAACCCATTCGCGCCATTTCCTTTATGATTTTTCCCCATAGCCTTAAAGGTCCAGACCTCTTCACCTCACAAGTTCATTGCCCCTTCACCCAAAAAATCGGCCCCAAATCGAACAACTCATCAATGGATTCAAGATTGGAATAAAATGGGGTTGTTTGGAAGGGGGGCTGATGGGCTTGGTCAGAGAGAGAGAGAGAGAGAGAGAGAGAGGGCAGAGAGAGAGAGGGGCAGAGTCACAGAGAGAGGGAGTCTTATAGAGAGAGGGAAAAAAGGGTTTGGTAGGAGAGAGATAGAAGAAAGGGTGGGGGGTCCCACGCCTTTGTTTATTAAAATGATTTTTTTTTTCATTTTACATGTCATACTATTTTATTTCACAGTATTGAATTATTTTTAACATATGAAATGACCAATTTGCCCTTATATTTAACGGCAAATTGAATGAAATTTTGAGAATTTGAACGACAGGGGGGAAGTTGAGAATAAAATTTAGTCCGAGTCCTTAATTTTCTAAAAAAAATAATTAAAGAGTAAATTGATAATTAAGTACAACTTCAAGGGGTATTTCAACAGTTTACCCTTTATTTGAAATACAACTTGGGCATACACAGAGTTTCTGAACAAACTTGTGGCACCCCAACATTGAATCAAGGCTTAATTATGTACATGCCCCCTGTGCTTTCCAACTTATCTCAGATTACCACCTGTGGTGGAAAACGTCTCAAAGTACCCATAACGTGCAAAAAACTGTCTCACGTTACCCTTTCCGTCAGTTTTTTTGAAGTTCCGTTACGAATGTTACTGTTCATCTCCCCCAAAATTCCAGAACAGTAGCCCCTCCCCTTTGTTACTGTTCATCGCTTATTTACCCTCCAAAACTCAGAAATTTCTCCTAACCAACACAACTAGCAGCAAGAACAACTCGAGATGTTGAAAAATCATACCTGGATCGAAGAAAATGGTGCTCGGAATCGCCCGAACGAGCAATGGAGATTTTGGGTAAAAACCGGCCAATTTCTTGCTTTTTTTGGTGATCCAGACGACGGTTGGCAGCGGCTGAGATGTGAGGGTGGTAGAGGACAACGTGCTGGTTCTTTTGATATCCATGTCGTCGCTTGGGGTGGCCGGAGGAGGCGATGGCAGCCCAAAAACTGGTGCGATGAATAGTAAAAAATGGGAGGAGCTGCTGTTCTGGAATTTTGGGGGAGATGAACAGTAACGTTCGTAACGGAACTTCAAAAAAACTTACGGAAAGGGTAACGTGAGACAGTTTTTTGCACGTTGGGGGGTACTTTGAGACGTTTTTCACCACAGGTGGTAATCTGAGATAAGTTGGAAAGCACAGAGGGCATGTACATAATTAAGCCTTGAATCAAATACAAACACATCAAATAGTTGGGGTGTACCGTCTATGGGTTGGGTTTCGAGAAAGATTACAAATTCTGAATTTTTATAATATTTGTAGGTGAAAGGGTGCAAAGCGGAATTGTGGATAGAGTCGGAAACAATTAAAAAAACGAAAAAACAAAGTTTGGCTGCGCAACGCAACCACGCGGTTTCATTTATTTTCCTTTTTTATTTTTATTTTGCATCTATCTCCTCTTCTCTTCCTCCCCCCTGACTCAGGTAATTGGTGCTTCCATGGACGAGGTGATCACGGCCGCTGATGCCTCATCGAATGGATCTACATCATCACAGACCTCCATCATTCCCTCTAATCTTCCTCTCCTCTCTGCCTTCCTCTCCTTCGCTCTCGCTCAGTTTCTCAAGCTTTTCACCACCTGGTAATATTCTCTCTCTCTCTCTCTCTCTCTCTCTGTAACTTGTAATTCTATGTCTGGCTGTTTTGTAGATTTATGACATCTTTATTTTTTTCTTCTATTTTCTCGGCTTCTAAACGTGTAAGGCAAAGTTCATTGATTTGTTATTTGGCATTTTTAGGCAATTTTCTTGGTGGGTGATAATGGGTCCTTTTCGTTTTGTGAAATTATGTGATGGTTTGAGTGAATTGGATGATGACGTTACATGCACCATTTTGGCAGTAGCCGAAAAATGTTTTTGCTTCACATAACATTCACCATTTGGTATTTGTTAATTTATTTGTCCCTTTGTTATGCCATTTTCTTTTCACTATTTTGGCTATGTTTATAAATTTTGTTGTTTGCTCAGTTTTTCAAATATTTACTCGTAGACGTGCAGGTACAAAGAGAAAAGATGGGACTCTAGAAGGATGCTTGGGTCAGGAGGAATGCCCTCGTCGCATTCAGCTACTGTGACAGCTCTGGCAGTTGCTATTGGTTTCCAGGAAGGAACTGGAGGATCGGCGTTTGCCATTGCAGTGGTTTTGGCATGTGTTGTATGTAACTCTTAACCAGGTCTTGTTCATTCTTTTTGTGTAGGCATGCATGCTCGTGTTTAAAGGCTTTCTGTTGGGATGTGAAATCTCAACATAATGTCAAAATTCCCTTTACTTGCTTGTTTTAAGCTTGTTACTCGATTGATTAAATATCTGGAGTTCTTCTATGTAATGTCATACTCTGAAACTTCAGTTGCCCGTTTATGACTGCACACAGTCATTCATCATACTTCCGTAAGGGGATTAAGCCTTGTTCGTTCATCATCATCTTTCTGTTTGTGATTGTAGTGTATCAATTCTGTAGAATCATTTGTCTTAGTTCTGCACAACTTAATCAACTGCACTTGGACCAAAAAAAGCTTATTTAGTTGAAGAGAGGAAAAAATACATCCCAAAAAGGTTGACCTTTGACACATTTCTGCACCATCAAGCGAATAATATAAATGTAAAAATATAATGAAGCATTTTACTGGTATTTTCTTATCGCTTATAATTTCACTATGTCTACTTCAAAATCTAAATGCGCTCGGTAGTTTCTTTCCCCTGAGAGAATATGAGTCTTTCCCTTCATAAGATGATGTTTGAACAGTTATATTTGTAGCCTAGAAACCCTTGGTACATAAATTACTCTAGGTGAAATTGTTAAGGTAAGTGACCTCAAACAAAGATGAAACATGGAAACCACAATCTCAGCTAATTATAATTTAAGAAGATTATAACTATATCCTCAGCTTTCAACTTTTTGGGTTACTTATACTTAATAAAAAGATGAGAAATAATCATTTTTTAAATTTGTATTACATCATTCTCAGTTTGGTTTCCGTTACTGCCCATAGTTTTACAAACCATCCATGATTTCTCATGGAGTTGGGTTGCCTGTATTTAAAATGACTGTTTCTTGCAGGTCATGTATGATGCTACTGGTGTAAGACTCCATGCTGGCCGTCAAGCTGAAGTAAGAATTTTTTTTCCCTAGTCATCAATATCCCCTGTTGACACTTGACAGCGCACATACAATTGTACTATCTAATGTATGGGGTTTGTTTTGCGAAGTTTGTCAAATAAGCTTGGGGATAAGGGGATCATACTGAGTGAATATCTGCTTCCTTTTTCACAGGAAGCTTAGGGTTTCTTATATTTTCTTTTTCGTAGATGCTATGTGATAATTGTTCTCTATAAATCTTTTAAAATATTCATTTCTATTTGAGTGCTAGTAATTGCTAATTGTGTATTGTTTTTCTGCAACATTTCCTCTGAAGTTACTGCTCTTTGTAATGCGTCAAGCTAGACTGTTGACAACACCTTTGTCAATATTACAATACAAGCTGTATGACTGGGCATACATACCTCCTGAATCTAAGGGAGAAATTCTCAAGAATTTATTATTATTCAAGCATTGTTTTCTGTAACATTTTCTTATCTTTTTAAGGCTTGTCAAGTTGGAGTTTTGGCAACACTTTTATCAATATTACAGTGTAATTGGGGCCTAAGAAACATCCCCAGCTGTAAGACTGATACACAACTGCTGCCTGAACCTAAGGGTGAAATATAGACATGTATTGTTATGATGGCCAAAGATTAGAGGCAATGTGGCCATTACAGTTTATGTCAGTCTAATGATCTATCAATTATAAGGGAATACCGACTTATTTTGGGGTGCTTGTATGTGTGATAAAATACGTGCAACTAGGAAGGAGAGGTTTTTTTGTATCTATTTAGGATTGCAGTATATGCCTAAATAGCGATACAGCCATTCAAATCCCATCATACTCGTTTTAAAATATGTTTTCTCCTGGATGTGTCTCTTGTGACAAAATTCTTGATGGACATGGTACTGACACATGGACAAGGCAGTGCTACGGAACGCAAACATGCTGCACACATGAACATGTGCAGAAAATGTGATATTTTTTCTTCTTGCCCTAAAGTTTTTGAAGTTATATTTGACTTATTTTGTTTATCCATATATGTACACGTGTATTGCGTAGGCACTTTTATGTTAGAGGGGGAAAAACAGCCATATAAGGATGCGTCCATTATGTCTTGGTTGTGTGTTGCTGTGTGTCCAAAGTGTAAATTTTATCTGAAATTCTAGACAGGGGAGGACTAGTGGTTTTCAATAAGTATGTCATGTCATTGAAGTTATGAATCTTCATTTTTTATTCAAATACCTTGGTTTATTTCCTTCTTTTAAATAGTAATTTTGTTGTGGTGGTTATTAACTGTTTACGTTTTTTGGGTAACTTGTGTAATTGTAACTGTATGCTTTGTGCTTATGCTTGTTTTATTATAATTATAATTTATAATGCAACGCATTATGATGCTTATTGCAGTTATTAAATCAAATAGTATGTGAGCTACCTCCAGAACACCCAGTTTCTAGTGTTAGACCTCTACGCGATTCACTTGGTCATACTCCATTGCAGGTTTGTCGCATTTTACTTGTTCATTTTCATTCATGCAAAGGTTACAAAATGACGACGACATTTATTGTCTGAAACTTGAGCATATATGATCATCACTTGCATCTCTGTTTTGTTTGATATGGCTGCAGGTTCTTGCAGGTGCAATGTTGGGATGTATAGTAGCTTCCCTCATGAGAAGTTCCAGTTAGCTAGCAGATGGTTAATTAGATTATTATCTGACTTAGAGAGTGAATCACGGGCTCTAAAGGTCATTGCAAGCATTTCCACAGAAGATTTCTCAACAATTCCCCCCACACCACCCACCCCCCAACCCCCCGCGGGCGGGGTCAACAGTGAAAAAAATGGACCTAAAAAAAGTATGGCAAGTTTGTAATCAGAATTTAACTGTAAAAACGTAAAAAAGTGTGTTCTAATGCCTTTGAACACTTGGCTATATGATTGCTAATCCCAAGTACATAAAGATGATTGTGTTTTTATTATTATTTTTGGCAGTCTGGATATGATCTTTACCAATTGAGTCAAGTCATCCTCTTCTTTTAAAAGTTTTTACTTTTTAATTTATGTCAAATGTCAGTGCAACCTCCAATCTCCAAAGATCATCATGGCTTGGATTATTTGACTTTCTATGTTACTTCGCTTCCAGTCCAAATTCCACCAAGCAACGCCTTAGTTCTAAATGAATACAAGTGATATTGGGAATGGTATAATCGAATTTAAGACATTAATACTCTACTTAGTAGCCACCTCAACATTGACGTCACTTTTAATTCACCTTCCCTCCCTTGTAGAATTTTTACCCCACAAACAGGGCCATGGACAATTTTGTTTTTTGGTTACTGGGAGACCAAAGCCAAGGAAGAGAAAAGATTAAACAGGCACAGCCCTATCATGGGCCCTGCCCAACTCATCATCCAACAAAATGCTAGCACGATAGTCAGGAACAAACTTATAGTGATGAAGTCCCCAAGGAAGACCATGCCCCACATTGGCATTAGGGATATGGACAATTTGCTTCCGACGGAAACATTGAACATCAAATGGAAAAGAGCATACACAGCTCAACATCGATTGCTGCTTTTGTCAAGAAAGTAAAAGCCAGTATTCACATGAAACTCGAGCATCTTAATTAAAAAAAGTAATAAACAGCTGAAATATTTCTATTTTTTCGTCGAAAAAGCTGAAATATTTGGAATTCCTTTGTTTCACAAAACCATTACATCACAAAACAACCGTCTAATTTGTTCACCGCTGAGTTTGTGATATATCTCCTCAGTCAAACAATTTTATAAACAAAGCGAAGTAGGGATTATTATAAGTTCAAGCCTACCATGTTCACCGCTGAGTTTGTGCTCCCCTTTCCTCACTTAACTACAGATTCATCTCCTGAAGGTTTAACAAAAGATCTTCGGAGTTCAAGAAAACCTTGTTCGATGAATTGGAGATAACTTGCGCAATTTCTCTTGCAGCCTCAATCTTCCTGAGAGTGATAAATGCCGGATTGTTGGCAATAGCTTCACCAATGAGCTTGGCACTTGTGGCTTCACCCTGGAGAGCAGGGCAACAAAAAGAGTCAGACATTTAATTCAAAGGAGGAGAACTGCTCAACCAAAATTACGGAGAAATAAAGACGTTCCGAAAGCTCTAAATAAAAATAATGATCAAATTGGAGGAATTACCTCTGCTCTGATAACAGCACTTTTCTTGTCTTGTTCAGCTTTATCCACAACAAACTTAGCCCTCTCAGCTTCTTGTGCAGCCACCTGTTTGGCTTCAATTGCAATCATAAACTCCTTTCCAAAAGTCAGGCTAGTAATCGACACATCATCCATTGCGATATTGAAATAAGCTGCCCTCTCTGTCAAAATTTTCCTTATTTCCCTACTAACAGCCTACAAAATAAAATGAATTCAGTCAGTCAGTGTCACCTGGAATACCATCTTCAACTTATCCCTTAGATAATATACACAACTAAAGTGTACAAACTTCGTCAGAAAGGAGTGAAATAATATCTTCAACTTATGCCTCCGATAATACAAGACCCTTCAAAGGATTTGAATTGTGGAAATCAACTATTTTAGTCAAATCAGAAATAATGAATCACTTACAAAGCACAATAATCCAAGAAAAACTTCCTTCTAGCTACTGAACTTTTAACTTTAGCTGAGAAGGATGAAACCAAGGGCTTAAAACTTGCACATTAAGTCGAAAGCACTTGTAATTATTACTATACATGGATTTCATTTATAAATATGTTGATTTTGAAAAAAAGGGTACTGGTTTGCAAAGCAAAATTTAACTTTTTAGAAGAGCTTGCTGCTGATTTCCAAATTAATCAAGTATTTCATTTTTTTTTTCTTTCTGGTTTTAAACAATTTGGTACGTTAGCAGTATAATTCATTAATTCCCCTGGTAAATTGAGCTGTTAAGCTTGTTTTCTTGAGTTAAAATCTCATATATTTACAACCTGCTGAAAAACACATAATTGTAAGCAAACCACATTTCATTACCTAAAATGTAAACAAGAAAACCCAATACAGAGTTGTGGGAGAGAGAAAGGTGAGAAGGGAAGCAAGAAAACAAATTGAAATAATGACCAACGACAAGAAAAATCAAACAAAACAAACAAAACAAAACACAATTCTAATTATAGCTAAAAGATAATTATAAGCCTTCTGCTTACCTCTCTCTGAGTAATGAGTTGACTGGCATTATACTGTGCAACAACAGCTTTCAAAGTTTCATGGATAATTGAAGGCAGGACCCTCTCATTATAATTCTCCCCAAGAGTTCGATAAACCGTGGGTAACTGGTCTGGCACAGGGCGGGTCAGAACTCGAAGTGCTATTTTCACCTATAAAGAAACACCAAAAAAATATTAATGTACCAAAAAAAAAAAAAAAAAAAAATCAGAAAAATTTCATTTTCCACAAAATTAACTATAACTGTCCCCCTTTAATCTATGCATTGTAATCAACATTATAGACACTTCACTGGAAATCTACATGGGTAGAACAGGTTCACCTATATGTGACAGAAGATAACAGTGTAACACAAACAAAATCAGTAGCGAGAGGAAAAATGGGTGCCGAACATATAGGTGGGAGTGGGAGTTAAGAACATCAAGATTTCATAAGAATTCTGAAACTGTTGAGATCTGATGGGGATAATAATAAACACCATGTAATGCAAAACACACAAGAGGAGTCCAAGGTAAGTGCCCATTGGTTTTGACAAAGAGATTAGTCAAATAAACATCATTTCAGGCATTAACCACAATTTTTATGGAACAGAAATAAGAAATCTACATACCATCTGAAGGTCACGGCTTCCAGAAGTACTCTCCACTAGATGTGGTCGTGCACGGACATCATAGATGACTGGCCTCTCAAACCATGGGATTATCAGGTGTGTCCCTTCAGGATAAACCTGCAATTTTAAGAGGTAAGTATATTGTATAGCATAGACACAGTAGATACAGAATTTAGGAAAAAAAAGAAGAGGAAAATACATACTACAGGAATAATTATGGAAGGCACACAAATATAGAACAAAATTGTTAAATCTATGGTATTGTGATATTCCACTTTGGCTTCTATGTGTTGTGCAATGGTGTGCTGAATCCCACATAGGTTGTCTCAACGTGAGCTATATAAGGGGTGATAAGGAATCTCATTATTGACTAGCCCTTTTAAAATATAGGAACGCTTCCTTAGGTCATGACAAATGTGTTCATCAACCACTTTTTAAAACTACCTATATGTTGCGAATCATCTAAACTTAAAACAAATAACTCCATTCTCTGGCAAGTTATAGGCTAAATAAGTAGTTCTTCCTATTTCTAGCCTCAACTGATGCCAAATGGTCTTGATGACAAAAGTTTAATTCTTTCATGTGTCAACAATAGAAAATGGGAAATATATGAGGACCCTAAAGTCATGTCTGACTACAGATCTGCTATTCTTAAGGAAAAGAATTACCAACAAATGCACATATTTCCTAAGTACAAGAGTTTGAGGAAAGTATTAACCTTGTCTTTGATACCAACAAGACGATTGAACACAATGGCCCGATGCCCTCCATCGACATTGTAGAGACTATTGTTAATTCCATATATACCAAGAGTACCAACAACTCCCACTGTAAGCAAAGTAGCAATCCCACGACCAGGCACTTTGGGAACTTTCATATTTTTCATATTCATATTTGTGAATGCTGAGTGTGTACAAGTTAAATGCCAATGTTAGAAAATCAAATTAAATCATTCAATTCTTCCTCTTGCTACAAACGAGAGGCAGAAATTGCAGGAGTAAGCTAAATGTTCATTGATGAACAGAAATACGGAGATCAAAAGGAGAAAGCATGGTGCAAGGTATATTATGAAAGAAACAATACATAAACACGACTAGAAAAGAAACACAAGCATATTCTCATTGGTTTTATTTCCTCTTGGTTTCTGAGAAAAATGAGAAACAAAAAACAAAAGAAATTGGCAATCAGAGTTGCTTCAACTTCCACAGATGGAGAACCGGCACTCAAGTAAGCTTGATAAAGAAATTGGTTCTCACTTTCCAAAACTTTCTGTGCAACCAGAAAGGGGCACAACGCAGAAAAGTGAAAACGTCCAAATACAGCAAAAAATGAGCCCCACATTGTGAATCTGGTATATGGGTTTCACCAAACTAAACTAAAATGAACAAAAACGAACAAGGAAAAAGGAAGGCATTCTTATTTCTTCCTTTTCCTCAAATTTTCTCAGCCGCCAAACATAACATAGTAATTTATAAACAAGAAAATTGGAGAAACATCGGAATAGAAAACGAACCCAACTTGCAAATCACAAATTTTGTCCCCTAGACAGTAAACACGGAACGTGTAAGCAAGAAAAACTAAGATCCAAATTGTCGACTTTTCACCAAAATTTCTTTTTTATTTTGTTTGCCTAAATAAATTTCTTACCAGCCGAACACAAAATAACACAAAAATGTATAAATGAAGAATGAGTAGAGATCGAAACCTGGAAAACCAGAAAAATACGGAAGGAAGATGAAGATAGTCGTCAATAAAATGAGATGTACAGGAAAGGGTTTAGGGTTTATGCCTATAAAGCTCACAATAATAAAAGCGAGGAATGCGGAATGGCATTTGCGTGAAGAAGGGGTTGGAATTCCAGGGGAAAACGCCATGTCGCATATCAATTCACTTGTCCACGGTGGCGGGAACTGAGAAAACGGTACGTCGTCATTATTCTTGGGATCAGAACTACGGAGCAAAACGCCACCGTTTTATATTACAAACCCAAAACGTAACCACCATTTTCCCTCTTTTCAAATTCTCCTCTCCTTCTGCTCTCTCTCATGTCGATACTCATCAATGGCTGAGGCATTGAGTACAAAACCGTCTACAGCGTTAAGGAATAGAGCTTCCATGGCGAACCGTACCCAGTCACCGACCAGTCCGCTATTCGTTCTGGGCTCCAACGACGACCAGCTCGAACGCGCCCAGGCACGCGCCGCACGCGCCGCAGCCAATCGTCGCAAAGCGGCTACAGTTTCCGCTCCTTCTTCTCCGCCTAGCGATCCTTGTCTCAGTAGAGAACAGATTATCGACCTCTTCCAGAACTGCATCAAACTCGCCAGCGAAAATGTCCGTACATACCCACACACACTCTCTCGCTGTTTATCTATGCATATATATAAATATGTGTTGCTGTTTATTTTGAGTAATATGCTTTGTAGTTTCTTCAACAGTGCTTTCTATAATGCACTATATGTAATTTATTATTGCTATTATTTAGTACTTAATTTATTAGGCTGTGTTTGATTGCGGAGAAAATGCTGGAAAGGAAAGTGAACGAGAGTTAGTTCTTTCTTTCCTTTTTGAATGTTGAAGTGTCTTATTTAGGACATGGCATAATAAACGTTTACTCCAAAGTTATGCTTAATTGGCTTGCTTTCTCAGTTTTTTCTTTGCTAAAGAAAAAAAGAACAGTACATGAGGCTCATTCACTTTCTTTTGTTGTCCGAAGTTTTCTTAGCTTCCTGAAAAATTTTGTACTCCCATGCGGAGTTGCTCTTTCTTATTTATGTGAGTATATTGTGATTTGTTTTGTGTTTTTCCCTTTCTGTATACTAGAAAATAAACCAGAAGAACACGTGGGAGCTTAAGCTTATAGATCATCTTAGCGAGATTATTAAAGTTGAAGCCGAAAATGACACAGAGACTAATTTCCAGAAGGTTCGGAGCACTTACTCTGAAAATTGGTTGGTGTTGGAGATATTGTTGGGGTTTATGTACTTATGGGGATATTATTATTATTAATTTTGGGGATATTATTATTATTAATTTTGGGGATATTATTATTATTAATTTTGAGTGACTAGGCAAGTTGCACACTGGAAGCAGGGGTGAAAATTTATGCGGTGAGGGTGGATTCAGTGCATGCTGAGGCATATAAGGTCCTAAGTGGGATGAATCGAGCCAGTCTGGAAGACGAACAAGGTTGGTGCCTTTAGACATTGGCTTAGGCCTGTAATTGTTTTTGAGTGATGGGTTTGGTATATTTCTCTTTAGTTCAGGCAGTTTTGGGATTTCATAGCTTGGAGGTTCAGTGCTTCTTTGATTTTGGTCAGTTTCCTAATCAAGGGCTTTGGTGACTGACAGAAACTACTAGGGGGGATGACAATGTCAACAACGAGCAGAGTAGGGGTCAGTCTAAGAAAGAGTTGGAGAGGAAGGTGTTAGAAAATTTGACGGCAAGTGCAAAGTATTGGATGTGGTTTGAACAGACATCACCACTGTCGACATTGGAATCCTCCTTTGAAGCTCTGAATGTAAAGAAGTTTGATGGTAACTTCACAACATAGGCTAGCCATTTTGGTCATTATCATCTTAAGCTTTTTAAATTTCTAATTTGATCTCTTTTGTCAATTTTAGTTGCATTCACGGTCGATCCTCTATATCACCAATCATCTGCACAGTGTGATGAAGGTGGAGCCAAGGGTCTGCTATTAAATAACCTTGGAGTATATGGAGGATGCCAGGTGATTTTTGATTCTTACGAAGTTCCAGGGATGTGCAGATCATGTTCATTGCATAGTAATCCCTCAGATTTGATTGATCTCTCTTTTGCCAAAGGTGTGCGAGTTTAGAATCTCTCTTGTTGGATTTGCCTCAAGCCCCCTTCCCACTTTTCGGTGCTCTCCTCTTTTAGCCATGTTTTTTGGTTTCTATGTAGAATCTATTCAGGAGATGGTGGTGAACATGCTTGCAAAGAATGAAATTTCTCCTACTCTCAAGGAGATGCTTTGCCAATTTGAAGAAAATAATCAGCGGTCATCACAAGATTTTAATATAGGCCAAAATTCAGATCTCAAAATGGATGGCTTTGATGATAAAGAAGTTGAGTGGGACATTTCATCTGGGAACTATGACACATGGACCATTGATCATGATGATGATATAGGTGTTGATCATGAGAATAGAAGTTTTGGAGATCCTACATTTCAAAGTCATCATGAGGTACTTGTCATGGCTACATGCTGAAGTAATTTAGACCTTGATAAATTGCTTGTCACATAACTTGTCTCGTTCAACAATCTCTAGTTTTCTTTATGTATCCATGCTGAATGAAAAAGATATAATGGAGTAAGTTTTCTAAATTTGTGCAGGGTAATAACTCTGGTACATCATATGAAGCTGATGTAGGTGACAGATTTGAGAGAGTTTCTGCGTTTTTGTTTCAAGGTTTGGGATTGAATTCAAAGAAAAATGCATGGGCTGGTCCTGATCACTGGAAATATTGGAGGCCTAAGGGTTGGTATTACCAAGGAAATTACTTTATCAGTTTGCTCTGTTGTGGCTAAACCTTGATTTTGATTTCTTTGGTATCTATTCTGTAGGTTCAGAGGAAGCTCCTGCGACTCAAAGCAAACCAACTACTAAGAGAACAAAGAAAAAGGACCATAAGGAGGTCGACCTTGATTTCACAACATCTCTATACAAAGAATTTCCAGACATCTTTGCTCCCCCAAAAAATTCCAAGTCTTTACTCCTACCTGCAAATACAGTACCTTGTAGTAACAGGCTTCCAGAAGATTGCCATTATCAACCTGAGGATCTTGCCAAGTTGTTTCTCCTTCCAGATGTTCTGGTAATATAGAATTCTCTGTGTCCTAGAAAAGAAAAATATACTTATTCGTGATAAAGTTTTGCATGGTAAGATGGGGCCTTGCATGATCATGATCTCACTCCAAGTATAGGATCCCAATTTGGGGTTTAAGTTCAGCACACGTACAAAAAAGATAAGCTATGGTCAGAGTTTGTGATGGAAACATCTTCACTATCAAGAAAATGAAGTTTGTTAGTTGAAATAAAAATGAATGGTAGAGTGTAGCTTAACATGCTACTGCATTGAATATTGTTGTACTTGCACAACTCCACTTACAGTATTCTGGTTGTGTACATGCTTAATTTCATTTAGTAGTAAGGGCTGGCTTTGGTATGAGCTGAGCCTAGCTTAGCCTGATCTTTTATTTGTCCTGAAATCAGACTATGGTCTTATCCAGTCGAAAAGATGCAAATGGTTAGTCCATCCAAGTTGCAGACTTAATATTTGGCTTTGGACAAGTCTTCTCATGTTCCTGCCTACATTTTAGAAATTTCTGAACCCTTATGTTGTTTGTTCTGGCTAACGGTAAAATTTCAATTTTGATTGTAGTTCTTTGGGAAGAGAAGACGGCATCATACAGGTAGCAGCTTCTTCCTTGGCATATGTTCTCACCTAATTTTATATCGATCAGCTATAATTTTCTTTTCCTTTTAAAACCGTTTTTTTTTTTGTATACTCGCTTTCCATACGAAATAAAATTTACAATCTATCTTAAATAAATCCATACATATGTATTGAGTCTTTCTCTATCTCAGTCTAAACTTCCATCCTGTTTCTTAAGTCTATTTATCGTGCTTCATGTGGCACTTTTTTATTTTTTTATTTTATATTTTATGGTCCTTGTTTTTTTTTTTGGCTTATGATAGCAATCTTATTTAAATTTAGGACAAAAAAGTTTAATATCTGGCCCCTCTTCCCCTCTTCTATGATATCTTGGAAAGTACCTTGAGGAAAAATAGGGGAAGAAGATATTAATAGAATGCAAGGATGACTCTCTTGTTTTTATTCTTCAGATGATAATTTGTGGGAACAAAGTAATAATTTTGATGAAGTATTTCCATCATGGGACAACGAGAGTGTGTGTAGTGGCCAATATGGTGATAGATGTGTTCATAGCAATGTGGAAGACACGGACACACTTGTCTCCCAACCTCGTCAGGTTTCCTATTTTTCTTTTTTATTTCATGAACATAATAAATCTATCCTGGTTCTAATTTGGGCACATGTTCGAATTGATTGGGTGAAATGTAGACTTTAGGATGCTAAGCTGCAATTATTAATAAGAAAAACTGAAGATATTTTCTTTAAAAGGAGTTACTGGGTTGAAAGTTTTCCATTGAAATTGGGTTGGAAAATTTGGGGTACGTCTACTTCGTATGTTATGTTTTGTTCATTCTTTGTTGCTTTTCCTGGGTATGCATTTGCTTTATTACCTGAAAATACTATGTCCTCATTCTTTAACAGGGCGGTATATTTCTTCATTACAAAGTTTTTTAAAAGACATAGTCCACATGAATTTTTAATGATGCTCGTCTTGAGTTGTGGATCTGTAATAGGAATTGTTGGTTAAAGACTGTCACCAGACAAATTACTTCATGAAGCTGTGCTAGTGATGCTCGTCTTGAGTTGTGACTTTTGACATTTCAGGTAAGCAAAATTGAAGTGCAGTATGATAGAACTTCAAAACGAGTTGATGTTCATGCATTGAAGGAAACTCTGTGGGGTCATATGCAAGAATCTGCGGAAGTTCCTTCAGCAGTAAGCATATTCTGTTTGTATGTGTGGGATTCATTTTTTGTTTTTGACATTCTTATGAAAAACTGTTCTAATGTTCAATCAATCTACTAATTCAAGAGATCTAAGTTCATAGGAAGTTGGTTGCCTGATCCTTCCACCAATATGATAACTTTAGTATCTCTTTGCTAGCGATCAGTATATGTTTTCATATTTTATCTACTATAGATGTTTTCCATTCATTCTGAATACCATTTTACCTACAAAAGGAATTGAAAGACACCATATCCTTCAAGCATATACTGGTCACCTTTCCCGTCAACTGCCGAGCTGCGGTGCCTGAGGATATCTCGCCCCATTTGTGTTTCATCTGCCTTTTGCATTTGGCTAATGAGTATGGGTTAAGCATACATGACTGCCCAAGTTTAGACGACTTGAGCATTCATCTTCCGTCTCGTTTAAACTCAGATGGGGTGGAACAGCCTTCATCGTAGCCAAAGAAGCAGTGTACATTTGATATGTGGATATTTCAAGCTAGCATGCCTTCACCACATGCAAGTCACTAGGGCCTATTGAGCGTTGGTCAAAGAAATGTAAGTCTATTTCAGTTGCCTTGATTCTCATCTTTTGTCGCATGATGGTTTGTTGATTTTGAGCATGCCCCCAACATTGCCTTAAGCTTAATTCAGCGTCTCTATATGTTGTTCATTGTGTCTTTTGTGAATAATGATATGAAATACTAGCTCCCGACGTATGTTCGCTTCTAGTTTAACAAACTGCAAACCATTTTGTCAATTATTGAATTTGAGAATGTATGCAAGGTGAGACGGGACTGTAGTTTCATGGGACCAATTATATGCAATGTAGCTATTTTTCACTGCCCTGAGCTCAAAAGCAATTTCACAAGTTACCATAATTCTCGGGAAAAAAAGATACATAGAAGAAAGAAACTGTCAATTATCTGGCCCCTAGTTGGATCAAAAGGATAAGGGAGTATCTAATTTGTTGGTGCAACGCACGTTGAGCATTGCTTTTTTGTTTGTTGTTTTTGAGATTTTCTATTTCAAGCCTCAGATCTATTCCCAGGGAAAGTGAATCTTATAACCTAGAAAGTGAGAAGGATATAAGATTAGATAACTAAACTAGGCAAAAGAGACTTAAAGAAGGAACGTCGGGGAGACTTCTCGTTTTGTTATTTTGGGTGGATGTTTGTCTCCATTATGTGGGCTATCTGATGTGGGTCCCCTAATTGTCTGTCTACACAACATAATTGATGTGGATCAGTGATTTCTGAACCATTAAACCGTTAAGATTACAGATAATTCAAAGGGTGACAAAACACTTTTGACAAATTGTGGATAAACTTAGCCTGAAGATGACAAAGGGTTGCTATATCTTTGTTCTTGGCGACAGGGGTGCCAAATAGAAAAGTTGAACGGTAAAATCATGTGCATGCGTTCTTTTCCTTATCCACTTTCTTTTGAAGCCTTTAATTTATGAATTATCTTTCGAGGTAGGGGAAGCTAGGAATTTGAGGACATTAGAGAGTGGGTGGGGGAGAGAGGTGAATCCTAGAATGAGATGGTCATAATTTTGAAATCAATTTCTGTATTAGTTGAAAGGTATTGTTTTACCAGATATTTATTTATCGCGATCATGTCACACTTTTTACAGAAATGAAACTCATTTACACAAGCAGATTTCACTTTAATTAAAGACATTATCAACAATATAATGTAATAAATAAATGTGATAGATATATATTTAGAAAGAAAGTAATTACTAATATGCTTTGACAACTAGAAATAAACAATAACAAATTTAAAAAAAAAAAAAGATAAAAAGTTTGAGCAGCCTCAGGTGCATGGGGTGTAAAAGTGAGGTCATTTTATTTTGATTGCGAGAGGCTAGTGGGCCTTAAAAGTGGAGGGGACCACTCACTACAAGCGCACTAGTGCTACAAGTGGGACTGGTGGATTCTCAATAGGTCCAAATTCAGGAGAGGAATCAGTGTCCAAAAGAGGCTGAAGCTGTAGAAAGGGTGGCAAGAGCCTGGTAAACCTTTAGAAACAAAAAGAGCAAATGAAAGCAATTAAAGAATATGCTTTCACCGACCTTATCGACCATTGTCCAATTGTGTTCAGATTTCTCTCCCTCTTTCATCTTCTGTTGTGTTTGCTTGCCACAACTCAATTTTCATGATAATATTGAGTTGATTTTCAGGCAGTGGTTAGTATTGATTTAACAAGCAATAGTCTAAATTAGAGTATGAAAGTAAAGACCCTTTTTAATTGGGCTCGACCTCGTTGGTGATAACCCAAATCTTATTAAGATAACAAAAAATGTTCCTATAAAATATGTTGATAGTTTATTATTATTATTATTACAAACAAGCAACATTAGGGACTGGGGTAATCAAACGCATGTGCAAAGTTGAATGCTTTTAAATTTAGGGCTGACCAATAGGATATAAGAGGTCGTAGTATTTCTATGTTTTTACATCGTTGCCACTAAACTTCATATTTTATTTCTAATTTATTTCAACCATTTCATTAGCTGCCATAATTGTAATTAATATACTCCCTATTAATAGCATATCAATCACCCCATTTCTTTTAGTTGGCATTCCCTCTCACATCTCGCCCCCTAAAATTGCAAACAAACAAAAAATCTGTAAATTACATATCCAATAATGTACCTATGAAAAATATAATATAAATATATACATATAAAATATTGGTATATTATTTACCAAAAACAAAAACAAAAACAAAGTCAGTTACTTTGTAATTGCGTATATTTTTCATAATTAAAAATAGGTACACAATAATTTATATAAAATATAGGTACATTATTTACCCACAAGTAAATTATTTTACAATATACCTGTAAATGTGTATAGGTACATTATTTGGAATAGATAATTATGTACACTTTTCATACTAGGTAAATTATGTTTTTCATAAAACAAACAAGTAATAGGTACATTATTTTTTCAACATAATTAGTATGTACAGTTTTATTCATAAACAATTCTAAAGTGGATTATTAGTCATGTATAATTCATAAAAAGAAAATAACATAAACATTTTATTAAACAAACCGATTACCTAAATTTGAATTTATTGTTAAATTTTTTTAAAAATGTTTCAAAATTAATTCCTACATCCATTACAACCATTTGGAGATCTTTCCAAATTCAACATCTGTCATTATATATACAATCCAATTAAAAACTGTTTCCATATTGATTCCTACATTAATATACAAAATGCAATAATGGCTTAGTTGGGAGTATTTTTGGAATCTGAAAAGTACAATAAATCAGATTTTATGCTTAATCAGGTAACTTGCTGAGTTGGATCCTAGTCATGAGTTTTTACTTATACAAATTGGGTATTATTTATAGGAACAAAAAGTGAAGGGTTTTAGGTATGATAAATTGAATTTGAAGGGTGTAAGCCAAATTTATTATTAAATTTAACACTAACTACAAGCCTCTTTCGAACCTCTTCCTAATTGATGCACGGTGAATTCAAATTATGCAACTGTATAATTTGAGTGACAGCTTAAATTAAAGGATGATGAAAATGACGACATGCATGAAGAGATAAAATCGTACCGTGATTCCGGCACTGGTTTCCTATGAAATTCTTTTGTACTTTTTGACTATTATATATTATTCTCCGGCCATGATCCTGTTAGCACGACAAGTTACATATCTCTATCTTTCCTTCTATAAATATGTCCACAGGCTATACTTGTTTTCTACCACTACAAACCCCATTCCTCTCATTCCTCGCATTCCCTCTCATTCATTCCTATTCCTCCTCACCACCTTTTCAGTCCTTCAACAGAAGCCATGAACAAAGTTGAAAAACCTCAGATTCTAGTTCTTTCTCTTCTTGCCATTCTTCTCATCATCGCACCTCTATTATCCTCATCACTCAGAACTCCTTATCTCTACATCATCACTAACCTCCTCATTATTGCCCTCGGAGCACAAGCCGGCCTTCTCTCTGCCTTTTCCAACCCTTCAGATCATGACAAAGACAAACCTCTGGTTATGCCTTCAGAATTAGCCTACTCTGATAAAAGGGTTGTTGCCGACAGTGATGAAGATAAAAGGGTAGGTTCCGAATCTTCCAAAAAATCTTCTGAAAAATCTTCTGAAAAGAAGGCAAAGGTTGTTGAAAAATCTAGATCAGAGAAGATTGCTGGCACTGTGAAAATAGACAGTGTCAAGAAATGTCCTTCTATGCCTAGCCTTTTCTTCATAGGGGGTAGTGAGGCTGATCAAGAAGATCATGAGGTAATTGAGGAAAAGCATGAAATGGAGGAAGAAGAAGTAGTAGTGGGGGAACTTAGTGGGCAAGAGCTTTTTACCAAAGCTGAGACCTTTATTGGGAACTTCTACAAGCAGTTGAAGATGCAAAGAGAAGACTCATGGAAGAAGATTCATGACTTTTATCACAAAGCCTTCTAATAAACTTTGCTTGCTCTCTCTCTCTCTCTCTCTCTCTCTCTCTCTCTCTCTGCTTTATATCTTATAATTGTTTATATCATATTTAATCTCCTAGATCATTGGTTTTGGGGGATTATGATTGGTCAGAGGGAAACCATGTAATTCAACTCATGGTTCTTCCTTCCATTAATTTGGGTTTGTACAGAACCATATACACAGTATCCCTGTTTTTACAACAAGGGGTGGGGGTTAGTCTAGTCAGGCATTGCAGACAAATTAAGATATTAGATACTTAAAATCAATTCCTTGTACTAAATCTCCATCACTCAGCAAATCTATAAAAATATTTTAGTTTATGGTTGATGAACTTTCTTTTATTTATTTTGCTACATTTATACTGAAAAAGAATTATAAACTGGTAATTTTTCTTCTTGTAAGCTAGAAGTTTGCAGGTACTGTTACCTCAGTTGCATCTTTTGCCATAATCGAACATTATTTCCACCATCTGAAAATCTAAATACCAATGAGCAAAGATTTGCCCATATCTATCTATTCTACCTTAAACTTGCATTCAAAAGAATTAAAACCTGAATTCGTTTTAAAAGAAAGGATAAAAACATAACTAGTGTGTGATCAGAGGAGGTCATTTTGTTGTTGTGGCTATTACTTAATACTTAGCCTGGCGCACAAAGGCAATTTTAAGAAAAAAAATTGTAAATGGGATCTAGCCCAGTGAAAAATTAACTTGCAGACTAATAGTCTAGTATTTGAATTTCCAATGCACATTTACAGTGTGAGAAAACCCCAATATCGCTTGTATAAAATAAAAAGAAAAAAAAAAATCAAAGGCATATATTTCTTGGAAGAATCATGGTTTTTGACAGGAAATAGTACATACCAGCCAAAGAAGAATTAAAAAGAGGCAACCAAAAGTAATTAAAATGTATAATAATACTGTTTTCCTAAAAAAGATTGATTATTTCCATGCTCTCTCTCAAAAAGAAGGTACTGTCTCCACCTGCTCTTGGACTGTTGTGTGTGGGTTGTAAATAGCCTGGAAATTGGAATGAGCTTGGTGCCCAAGTTTTCTAAAGAGTTTATCTTTTTGTATCTTATTTCCCTTTCTGGGTAAAGTTGAACCCCTTTTTCTCTTTCTATCTCTATGTTTGTGTGGTGGCAAGTGAGAAAACAATTAGAACAATATTCGTCCTTTGAATATGCGATTAATCAAATGGTCCTAAAGATCTCTCTCTCTTTTACGCATGTAATGGACCATTTTACATGCGATCATTTGGCATTATCAAACTCAAGCCCAAAACCATTTCTAATATGCCTTTGGAAATTTAGGTCAAATATTTGGAACTCTACTTTGGGAGATATGGAAAAATCAGATGTGTAATGCACACTCAACTTAAAAATGACTAAATCAAGACTCGTATCGTATGGATTTGGTCATATATATGAACCTTTGGATTGGATACATGCACGAATCATAGATGATACTTTACTTGTGCTTGAGAGTTTACCAAATATTACATCATGCTCCTACCTAACAGATAATGTCCTCATCCTAGGTTCAGGTTTGACGTCTTATATGTGCTTAAAAGTTGTACAAGTTACGAACTTGGTATGAAGCATATGTAATATAAGGCCACAGAAGCATATACATATTATAATTCCCGGGAATAGTCCAAGATAAGCATGATATGATCTATGGTCATTTTTTTTGGGAACCAATAAAATATTATGATTTGGGCGGAACCACTTTAAGGGCTACAATGGGCTGTAGTCCAAGTTGGTTTTTGGGGATAAAAGAAAAAGCAAACCATATATTTGACTGGCTTTAAATATAGTCCAACATGTAAGAGTCTGAAAAAGTCGAATTCTTCTCTATTTAAAAAAAAATAAAAAAAATCCAATTCTTTATAAATTTAGTTGATGGGCATCAATGAATAAACATTAAAATAGGTGCACTTTCAATTTTGTTGTTGAACGTATTTTTTATTTTCATAATATGTGTTGTTTGGTTGCATTTAATATGTATTTGTCTTATGTTAAAGCCTATTGGAAATTAGCATTTAACCCTGCACTCGAAGTCCTAAGTTCGATTCTCATCCCTCCTAAAATGTACAAAGTAAAGCCCAATATGTATGTATTATTATTGTTGGGGTCTTTTTGTTCTGTAAGCTCCAAATGGATATGGGCTGCTATAAAGAGCAAGTGAATGATGTTGCTCCTATGCCTGAGTTCAAGAACCAGGCCCTAAATCACTCCGAAAGAGCTTAAGCCTTAGGGAGTGCTTTGGTTATCTTCAATGACTCCTTGGTTCATTGCAAGTTTTGATGTACGACAAGTATTGGAGTTTGGAGGGTTTACTTAAAGTGGAACCAGTGCGGGAAGTGTTTTGGCTTGTTTAGACGGGTGCTAGAATAGGTACTGGAAAGTGTTCCGAAGTTCGACAGCTTTGAAAGATTTGAAGATGATGTGTGATGTTGTGCAATGACCATGTCAGCTTGGTATAAGAGCTTTTGTGAATCAAGATTAAGCTTGTCTCGAGAGGCTTGTGGTGTTTTAGATCTGGAATAGGCCTTTTTTAGAGTGGGAATGAGAAGATGGAAGAACCAGAGCTTGAATATGGTGCTTCTAGCAATGGGAGAATATGCTTGCTCCTACTTGCGTTGGTTTTTTAGGATAGAGAAGGAGATGGAAGGGAAGGTGTTTGAGCTTGATGCTTCCAGCAGTTAGAGAATAAGCTTGTTCGATTGCTTTGGTTGAGTTGAGCCCCTCTTGCTGGGTAGCCCATGGTATCTTTTTATAGGTGCTGGAACGCCTCTTTACCCTAAAAACACTAGATGGTTTCTTCTCAATTAGCCAAGTCTTCTCCTTTCTTTCCCTTCACTTTCTCCATTATGGCATCAATAAGTGAAATCTCCCTAAAATCAGTTGAATTCTTGGTTGTTGAGACAAAACCTTTTGGTGCCCCAAAATCTTCCTATAGCTGGACCTTGCAGACGCTTCCTTTCTAGGCAACGCTCCAGCTTGACTTTCCTTTCTTTTTTCCTGCATGAGCTCATAGGGGTAAAGATGGTTAAATGTGATGGTCAAACAGAAAGGTTGAGGCTTATCTATTTCATCAGTCTAGATATATATGTAAACTGGATTTTAAGGGTTTCAGTTTGAATTGGGCAAGGTTGGTTAGATCTCAAGGGAAAAGGTGTTGGAATTTCTCTCTTACTTACCCATGTGTTGGCTCAAGAAAGTGGGCTTGGGTTTTGATGCTCCTAAGTAGCCCAAAACCTCCACATTTTGAACCATGAACGGGCCTTATAGATTCTCTTACCTATCCATATCATCACCTACTCAACGAGCCTTAGGCATGTATGTGGCTTGAGCCCACTTAAACTTGTCGGGTAGTTTGGCATTAAAGGGAGTTGCTTGGCGTGGTATATTATTGCGTGTTTATGCTCGGGCTACATTGTATTGCAGGGGATTAGGGCTGTGTTAGATAATGCTTGACAATGCAGTGGGCTAAGTGAGCTTGGGCATGTGAAATTGTTAAACCTTACAAGTTTGCATTCCAAATTGATAAACATGTACCATAACTTCCCCATGTGCCAAATTGTAGTCTAGCTTCGTAGCCGTACTTGAAGGGCCTCCGCATATCCTATATAAGCTTCTTTAATAGCACCATAATGCATTAGGCCTGAAATATACCTGGACCTTCCTTAAGAATTTTTTAGCCTCAATAAATATTATGATAGCATCCAGTTGATTTTCTTGAAAATGGTATCAAAGTTTGAAGGACTTGTAAAATGTAATTCATTTTGTACAGGTAACTTGTAAAGGTAAGATATACATGCCAAATGGCTATGGATTTGAATTGGCGGATGCTCTTCTACTTTTCAATACTAATATTGTGCTTAGGGTGACTCTAGGATTTTAGGGTTCTGTACCAAAACAACAATAGGACCTCTTAAAAAACACTTCAACGAAAATACTGTAAAAAAAATTGGACCATATAATGATAGCATATTTATAAGTAAAACTCATCACCATATATATATATATATATATATTTTTTTTTTTTAATACTATAAAGGATTATTAAACAAATAATTCAATGGGAACATAAAACCAAATCTTAGCGATCATTAAATTAGTAAGTATCATTAAGCAATAAAAAAGACAGTAACATACAATAAACATCTATAAAAATAAAATAAAAAATAGATAACTACATTTTACTCGCTTCAGGTTTAGGGTCATTATTGAAATAGGCCTTGAGGTTTCAATTTCATCAATACAAAATCCAACGTTTTTAAATAGGGAGTTTCACTAAAATACCCAAAATGGGGGTTGAAATTATAAAAAAACCAAAGCACTATTTAAACATATAAATACACCCAAAACCCATTATTAAATACACTCAAAGCCCATTTATAAACACACCCAAAAAGTTGACTTTGGGGTTGATTTTGGGTGTGTTTCTATGTTTAAATAGTGCTTGGGTTTTTTTATAAATACATGTTTAGGATTGGGTTTATTTATAAATTTGTATTTTAAATATGACCAGCACTCCATCAATTTTGTCGTTTGATTTTCTGTTAAATTGGTGATGTGTAAAAGAAAATAATAAAGAAACTGGCAATGGCGTGTGTAATTTGACAACAATTAAAGAGAAAATCAAATGGTGAAGTTGACGAAGTGCATAATTTGGTCATATTTAAAAACGTTGGGTTTCATATTGATGACATTGAAACCTCGAGGCCCATTGAACTTGTATGCTACTTTCAATTTGCATCCTCATTTTATTTTTTGAAAAATTAAGTACATGAACTAATTTTTATTACCAATTCCTCTTACTGTCTAAATCTCAACATTTCATCCAATTTTATGTTAAATAATTAAAATAAACAAAAGAAGAAGAGAAAAAAAAAAACAAAAAAACAAAAAAACAATCCTGGGGATTCACAGAGCACAGGTCGAACCCAGGCCCCCTTACCCTTCTACCGTGTTTTCTTCTCCTCCCATTTCCCATGACCACCACCCATGACCACCACCCACCGCAAGCCACCCTCCACCTCAAACCAATCCCCCACCCCATAGACCACTCCCCCTCTTCCCCCTTCTGTTTTTTTTCACCCCCAGATTGTTCACCCTACCCCTCCTTTTCTTCTCCCCTGCGACAACTCTCGCTCTCTCTCTCTCTCTCTCTCTCTCTCTCCCTCCCTTACGGTTTTTCAATTACAACAAAAGGGAAGGCATAGGTGGAGTGGGTGGCCCCTCTGTGTATTAAAATGGTTTTATTTATTTATT